ATCCACTCACTTATGAAATGAATATAAATAGGTTTGTCAGATAAATAATTTAATAATCAAATCATTCCCTCTTCACTAACGAACTGGAGAGATTTATCCTTCATTGATGACATTACTAATCACTTTATCATCTTCTTATATGGATGAACATCCTTGCCTACATTTTGTCACTTAACTGAGAACTAACTTTCAGGTTATAAGTAGGTCACAATCTGTTGTCTTGGAAACGATTTTATAATCCTCCGAATTCCTGGTCTTGGGAAGATTTTTCAAGATTTTATTCAATAATTATCTTAATCATACTCAAATAAGTACTGTTAAGGGGATAATAATACCTGCCTTTTGAAAAGGTTTGCATGAGTCAAGTATCAGCGTTGAGATTGCAATTAGTGATTCAAAGCCTCATATACACTTGGATGTAGTTTTTGAGTAGTTCTTTTATTTGTACAGTCTCACTTGTCTCGTCTTCAGAAAGAATGTCACCATACCAAATTTATTACTTAAGCCTAAGGGTGGAAATTTCTTTTTTACTGTGGGATAACTAAAATTTACTCTTAAGGAATTAGTTACCAGCCTTCTTTCATGAAAATTAGTTACTCTGCTATAATCCATAAATTCAGAATACAGCCAATGGTATTTTCATATAAGCAATCTACAAAAAAACCCTGAAACTGACTGCAAATTTCGTATCATTTATCAAAATCCAATAAATGATTAGCTTATAAAATCTTTTGTGTTAAAATACTTGAAAACAGTTTACTAACAGTTATTTGAATAGCTTCCACTCTCACTGGTACTAATAAAGCATTTTTGTTTGGAACCTTACGAAGTTAGATAATTCTGTTTAACACTTGAGTTCCTTCTGCTCCATGTTTCAGTCAAAGAAGTAAACAGTGAGCTAACCTTAGCGTCATCGATTGATAATCTTTCTTTGAGTAAGATACCGGTTGACACAGTATAAGACCTTTATGGGATATGCTTTGCAAATCTCTCTGACTTCAATAACTTTTGAAACTCTGAAAATAATAACTAAACAAGTTTATATGAGATTATTTTGTTAGAAGTGTAATACAGTATGCTTTTAAGGATACCTTCATTCTCCCAATATACCGTGTAGGTAATAAATATACCACTATCTATCCCTTTACCCAACCCATATCTAAATATTTAACACTGTTGTGACAAACATTATTCATTTGCAATTCCATATTAGATATGTTGATTTGATATACTGCACAGTGATATAGTATGATTTATTCGATGACGTTTCGAGCATAAATTATTGCCAATAATCACATCAGGTAATTAAACAACCTTCATTATCTGATTTTTATAGTTCTTTCACCTCATATTCTTTTGTTTTTATTGGTAATAAAAATTTTTATACCTCTGATGTAGGTGTTGCATCATTTCTATTGTGTGTTGAGTGTATTTTTGATGAACGGAGATTTAGTAATTAATTTCTCTCTCCTGTTGTTTTGATCTTGTAATGTTTCATTGCCATACAAGGTCAAACTGCTAGACCTACTTTGGTAGATGCGTTTCTATACGGATCCCAAGATCTTGCCGGATATTCATAATAAACATCTCTTTCTCCACGTTATTATATTGAACTTAAGTAGAGTGATTTATCTCACTGTATGGTGTAGTTGTGTGTCAATGTATGCTTTGCAAAAGCCAAATGCTTTTCCAGCTTAATGATCTTATTGAGGGTTTGTCATTCTACATTCACTTAAATTCCTATGTTCAGCTGATCTAACTGACCCCGACCAGCCGGTTTCACCTACGTAATTGATCTCACAATGACTGCATAGAATTCGGTAGATTAGATTATTCTGCTAAATCACGTCTGTTGGATCCTTAAGCCGATAAAGCGTAATTCTGGATGAATGTGTAAATTTCAATCATAACGGTAATAATCACTTTGTTCCAAAAAATTTTCACTATAATTCGGAACTTCCAGCACGGTATATTGCAACAAATATATGTACATGTTCTCCTTTACACATTCAGAACAAAGATCTAAATGGAACCTGAATTCTAGCGTTGTTCAGAAACTTATGTAAACATTTTAATATTCCTTCCTTACACGACAGAGGTTTGGAAAATATTTCCACTCATGTTCTCACTATTACTCGTTGTGATTAATCATATAACAGTAATACGAATATCAATATTAGTGACAATATGAGAAGAAAGGACCTCAATGCTCCCATCATGTTACCATGTAGGGAAGGAACATAAAACTTTTCGTTAGTTTCTCAACAACGCTAGAATTCAGGTTTCCTTTAGACCTTTATTCAGAATGCTTTAAAGGAGAATACATACATATATATTGGTTTGTTGACCTAAGGATACGATAGATCCGATTCTGTTGGTGGGAAGGTTAGATGGAAACCTGAAACGAAGTGTATGTAGAAAGCCAACATCAACATGTCATGTACGAACTTATTCAGTGCTGTATCCCTCCAATTCAAAAGGAACCCACTGAAATGCTTAACATGACCTGACACAGCTATTTGCTCAGTGGATGCTATGAATGAAGAGTACGCCACCATCCGTGATCTGCTGGGTAGGAATGGCTATACAGACAAGTCTGTAACTAAGCATATGAATATTACGAGGGTTAAGATAAAAACGCCAACAATTCCTAAGAAGCAAATCTTCCCGAAGATGGAATTTAAGGGATGACATTGCCAGTAATATCATCACACAACAGACAAACTGCCTATTCTGCCACACCCATGTGCATTTATCAATTCAATAGCTCCTGTGCAGCTAGTTATGTTCAGCGTACAATGACGAGGTTCATCGTCGAATTTCTGAATGCTACTCATCGAGATTGAGCAAGTGATAAATTAGAAGAATAAACAGCTACATACTTGCACACCTGTTTGACACGGGACATCAAGTGGATACTGGAAATGCTTTCAAAATCATTCATCACATTCCGATTAATTTACCACATGGATAACGCACTCGTTTACTCCACATAGCAGAAGCGATTGCAATCCATTTTTACAAACCTAAGCTTTGTATTCAAAAGAAGTTTGTTTGACCACATTGTTTGCCGTGGTTATCAACATAAAGTAACTCCTAGTATTACTTTGTACACCTCTTACCCTTCTTCTTTCTATCAACATTCCATTTTGTTTTTAATTGTTGCGTAATCGCTTATTGTGAATGACTGAACACTCATCGAAAGTTACTACATTTACCTAAGAATAACTTGTTTCATATTTCCAGTTTTAGTAACTCCAGTGATTATTTACATCATTATTTCCGGAACAACACCACGTGTTCGGTAATTTGATTAAATTATAAAACTATATATTAGTGTAGAGCCCAAGATGAAGACCTAATTGAAAAGGAATATATTTCTTCGCTTAATTAGTTTTTTTCCTAAAGACCTGATTCAGCAAAATAATCTAATATACCGAATTTCATGAAACTATTGTGAGATCAAGCACATAGTTCTAAAATGGAATTCCATTCTATCGAAATGCACACGTTTTACACCTATATAAATTATTCATTTGACTATACTGTTAAATAAAATGAAAATTTAGCTATTTTCTGATTATCATTATACTGAGGTGGAATCGAAAAAATTTAGCCAAACAAGATTTCTTAAAAATTGTTCAAACTATGTTATTCTGTCTAAAATATCACAGTATAACTTTACGTGATTTTACAACAACTGGATAACTTAGTTCATATTTAGGATTAAAACAATCCACCTTAATTAGGTGATGTTTAAACTGGATACCAGTCATGATCTCAATAATTTTTCGAAGTTGGCAAATGATTTACACAAAAACACACGTTTTTAAGAATGTAGATGCATTTCTCAAATAAACCATAACCATCAAACCACCCAGGAAATTTATACAAACCGTGTTTTTTAAGATATGTGGTGTATATGAACACCAGCTAGAAAACCAACTACTGAAATGCTTATGCTATCCATTAAATTCCACTTCAGTTGATCCACTAGCTGTGTCACACTGAATAATATTCTGACCGTAATTCACTATCCCTAGTTATATTATGGAAATCCTTCAACTTCTAGGCGTGATTAAAGCAGTTCCAGTTCCCCCTCCACCTTTGTGATATGGACACAAGAATTTTTTGAGTGTCTGTAACAGGCACTCAAACATTATTATTGCACCTGCTGGTTTCCATAAACAGAGATTCAAACATTCTTACTACCTTCTATCTAACTAAGTTGACCTTCAGGACTTTTACTAAGTTTAATTCTATTGTATGATCGTGTATTGCGAAAATAGCTGTGTGAGAGTATTCTTGCAAGATTTTTGTCTCATCAGTATCTCCTCAACCTAATTTGGCTAAGGTCTTATGCTCGTATAGCCTAATTGGCCAAAGTTATCTTTAATCTATGTCTCTGATTTCACAATCATTGCAAGGGATTCTGGAGTGCAAATAATTTTACCTAATTAACTTTACCGAAACTTTCAATCAACAAAGTTTATTTCTCAACCTTATTGAAGCACTTTAAGCTAAAATAACTTCTCAGTATCCGTCAACCTCTGATGGTTGATTGCAAACGTTTTTAATAATCATATAACTTCGTCAATATTCGTTTATGAAGTGTTTGCTATTTTCAATTAGCACTGCTATCGGTGATGAATATTTTTCAAGTTGAAATCCAGTACCCCTAAGGGTTAACAAATTGCCTACATGAGCCTTCTTAACATTTTAAAAATGACTCACCTTTTATTGAATAAATAATTATGATACAACCGAATTTGGGGACTCAGCGTTACCGATCAACTAACAAAAACTGAAAGCCATTAAACACTCATGACTTTCATTGCAGGTTTGATAACTTACAAGCATTCAGCTGAATGATGAGAGTGAATAGCAAATTTAAGGATTTAAAAGTGACTAATTTTGAGTATCTGGAAACGTTATACGTTGTACATACACCTTTACTAGTGACAGTTATTTTAAACATAGGAGAAATACTTTCCACTTACCTATTACAGAATCTGCATTCATATTAGTATATATCTGGTGATTATTACTGCTGTAAATGGCTTCTTTTAAACTTCGATTAAAATTTGAGGAACTCTTTGCATCGCATAAGTAATTACACTTTGATTGATTATCATATGTGATAGACTGTGAGTAACTGTCACCATACTGTTGTCGCTGTTGTTGGAGTGTAATTGTCAGTTTCTCTTCTACCACTTGGTCAATATCGATTTGTTTATACTTGTCTTCTCCTTCCTGAAACATGAAATCCTTTGACCGATGAAGTAACGGTGAAGCAAGACATGAATGTGATTTCATTTGATATTTTCTATCAACATGGTTATTATCTAAAGGACAATGATGATGATGACGGTGTAGGTTATTTGACAATGCAGATTGTTGGACAATGAATCTGGCAATTTGTTCCCAAACCAGAACCACTATAATCCAATTAGGTGTATGCTGCAGCACAGTTTCTAAGAATGTAAACATAGAGCATGGTATTAAACCTAAGTTTTGTAGGCCATGAAAATTTTGTAGCTTATTACTTATACCTTCTGTAATACTTCCATCACTACCATGTCCACTGTAATTCCTCATGATGCTTTTTTGTATATCTACACTAATATTATCCTTTGTGTAGTTGTAATGTGTCTGATCCACCAGATAATTACTATACAAGGTGAACAAATTTATAATTAACTTTGGTAAATGAAAGATGAATATGTGAATTGTCTTTAGAATTGAATAAGCCGCCAATAAGAACCAAACTGAGACTTGTGGATTTTTGCGACTCAATATACAATAAATTGGACAATTTAAACAAATCATTGAAAATGTATTTAAAAAGTATATCACAGGGATAATAGTATCCTTAAGAATGATTTTAAGCAGATATCTTTCTGTAGAATTCGACCATTGAGTATAATAATACTGTTGAAAGTACTGATTACTCTCATGTATGCAAAGGTTGACAATTAATTCAGTAATTTCATTTTGTTGTGAAGCTGAATCATTCAGTTGAAAATACTTACTGTTAATTAGCTTAAGAAATTCTTCTCTTCTCTTTGAATCATTACTTAATGATTGTTTTAAGAGATTTTGACATACTAATTGACGTCTAATTGATGATGGTAAATTATTATTGTTAACTCGTTCATTACCACTTTGTTCTGTGATAAGTGTATTCAACTGATACAAATCAAAAAACTGTGATATATACTGTTCAATTTTTATAAAATCTATTGGTCCATTTGTATAGTTTTGTATTATTGGACTTATTACCTCTGTTTCGGTTTGTTCCTTTGATAACATCAATGATTGTAATGTAAATGAAGATGATAGTTGTGGATGTGTGTAAGCACTCTGAATAGAACATAAGAAATGAATGTGTATAACTGACAGAGCATATCCCAAAGGACCCATTGAATAATGAATTGAATTATTGATAATAATAAAATTATTAAGGATTATCAAATTTATTATATTAATGATTATCAAATGTAATGTTCTGGGGGAAAATGGATTACTGAAACAGACAAATATTCTATAGATAATTTATCTTTTATCTAATTGGTTCAATTGCTTCCATGTGTTCTACACTTTTATCCAATCAGAACAATTTAACCTAAAATACTTTCTTTGCTGAATTATTAAACATTACAAATGGACTTTCATTTTTTTTTATAAAGCTGTTTGTTCATTTTCCTGAAACTGATTTCGTGGAAACGTATCAGAATAACCAATATGAAACACTGAATTATATATACATTATATCTATCCGCCTTTTTGTTAGGTAAACATCTAGTCGATGGATGATTTAGACACTAGTACTAATGTTAAATTCCCAGTAAGTGAATGTTGAGTATTAATTTCTATGTGAAAATAACTAGAACAGCCTACAGATACTACCTGTGACTGTGTAATCAAATCTTGACTGAATAAGAAAGCAGACGTATCACGTGTGTTGCTTCATGTATATCTGTGCATCTGTCATTTTACTGACTATAAATATGACTGTACAGCTTGATAAAGAAGTCGTTGAAAAGACATACTTCTTTGCTGATACACGTCTTGTTCTTTTTCATGAATAAATGGGTATATTTCGTCAATTCACTCATTACTCAGTTTACAATTTGCGGCTGTGTACAAAGAAATATATCTTATCAATAACTTTAAAGACTGAAAATAAAAGCAAATCTTATGACTGTTGAATTCTTTAACAAACATATTTTATTACCAAGCTAAATGTTACCTAAGATGCTTGAAAAAAGTTAATATCTACATATATGTACACCCATGAAGGTAAATAGTTAGATCAAAAGTATTTGGAATGGATTCAGGAAAGCTGAAAACTGTAACATACAGAAAACAGAATCATACAGACTAATCCCTCTCTCGACTACAGTAGCAATAATCTAACAACAGACAAAATCATCTCTGGAAAAACAATGTTCGAAATAACGAAGGTACACTGTAGTAGAAAGAAATAAAACGTTTTAACGACTGTCTTTCAAAAGAACGGCAATCTACTTAACCTTATCTAAAGAAGTTTGGAAAATTCTCCATCAGTCAACTGGCCATACATGAAAACAGGTTGATTGTTTGACCTTACATGAAGAACATTTTCGAGGTTGCAACTGAATTGTCAAAGCTTTTTGTGATCCATGTAGCACAGGAACCTACAAAATCTCGACACTTCATACTGTGCAGTTCAAACAGTAAGGCGAAAAATGAAGACCAGTCAGACGTTACCCCCAAAATAAACTGGAGAACCTAAGAAAAGCGATAAATTGGACAGTATGGTTACCCGCTTTGCACCCGTCTACATAAACATCAACTAGCAATGAAGTGTCACTATATTTCTCCACTCATATCAATGCATATAGACGATTGTAGACATGAAATCGACTCAGGAAATGTGGAAATCCTGGATAGACGACATACAAACTATGCTACAGAATTATTTGAAGTATGGCATTTAAGTTAGTTAGTGGTCAACAGACATGATGGTATCGGCCTAATTTACCAACTGATAAGATACATAAGAAATAACCATGAAGGTCAAAGTTCACATCAGCAGGACAACCTATAGATATCAGGGAGGAGACAATGGCAACAGTTTGACAGAAACAATCAATTACACTTAATGTCATCAGAACAAGCTAATAAACCACTAATGGAGAAGATCCTATAGCTCAATTCTCTCCGAAGTTTGTGCTAATGGCGTTGTCCAGTATGACAATAAAAGCTTCATGATCAAACCATCCAACTCAAAGAACACAGTATCAAAATTATTTAGTGCATAACAATAGAGTGCTGAACTTTTACTGAGTGAACATAATAAGAATACTGATTCAGAACTGAATGCACTTAAATACTTTGAGTTTACTATCCTCACCTATGTTCATCAATGGCTATCAAATTACTTGACTAAAACAAATGTTCTTAGCATGAGTAGGGATCCAGTATCATCTAAAATCAGGGATTAATTGATGACTGATCACGAAATCAAGACTAATGACCGTTTTTCAGTTGCTTCACATAACTTCAGTGAAAGGTTATTAAAGGTGCTAAAGGCACTTTGAATCAAACATATATACACACACACGAAACTGTTTTCATAAAACGATCCACGTGACCTTCGTCTTCCTTTGGATACTTGACCTAGTTTAATGATTATATGATAATATCTCCCACTGTTTCATACAACCGCTAACACTGATGAATAATTTATTTTAAAGGTAGCTTTCATCATGGACTGAAATAAATCAGCGGCTATTTCTTCCTATTGTGGGACTCCTCAGCAGTACGCGTACATGATCCCGCCAGGGATGGAACTCAAGACCCTCAGGATTCACGGCAAGTGAGCTAACTGTCCACCCACTGGGTCGGAGTTCAGTGGTTCGCGGTCTCCTGTTTCTGTCAATTCGTGTTGATTGTTAGCGCGTTCACCGTGAAACCTGAAACTCCTAATTCCGACTACTGGCAGGGTCATGAATGCGTACTCCTGAGGAGTCTCACACTAGAACGAAACAGCTATCCAGCTGTTTTAGGTTTCCAGTAGCTCCCTAACTGATGTCAGTTTGCAATAAATACTACCTTAAAAATAAAATCATCATAAACCTGAAACTACATGCATAATTTATTATAGCAGACCATGTTGTTTGTCGTGAATTACAGAAAAACTACGGAATGATATCATATCTCAGTAATAATTTCTTTAATGCACTGTCTAAAGAATTTTGATGGATATATATGTATATATTTATATATGTAAATATATCTACCTTCTCTCACCACTTACCCCAATGAGTAGGGTCATTACAGTCTGAAAATCTCCCGTCATTCTACACCAACATCCTCCAGTATCACCCAATTAAGGTCATCATGTGTTATTTCACTGCTATTGTTAAAAACTACCTGTTTATCTCTTACTTAGATCGAGCAGCTCGGGAGTATGGTCGCCAGCCTCCATATATTACGTAGTTCACTAAAGTCTTTTTAGTGAAAAGATGATCAGATGACTATTTGTAATCAAATTCGTATTCAAAAAAATTAAGACCTGAACACTGTAGTAGACTGTAGTTATATACTGGACTATATTACTTAGTACAGTGGACAGTGATACAGTCCTTGGCTAGGTTCCTCAATAACACATCGGTGCCACAGCTGAAGATTTCCAAACTAAGACAAAAATAGCTGTACAGTGCTCACAATGTTCTCACATTTCTCCAACTGATATTAATCCACGATTAAAATTACTGTAAAATCAATCCACTGCTATAAATTAGCGACTGAATAAAACTATTGCTCACTGTTAAGCGTTTCCAAAGTAAATTGTTGTCCATATTCGTATCACAGTAATCACACAACTTCTAACATCTGGCTTTCATACTGTTTTCAACTCATATTACTGGTCTTCTGTATTTGTAGAATTTTCCATACCTTCGGAATACGTGATACTCTATGGAGGTAAAATGTACTAGGTTTTGATTTGGCAAGCAGAGATTTCATAATCCTTCTCTTCCTGCGATAAATTGTATTGGCTTTAAGTAAAGTCTCTCCGTTTTCTCGAGTTGTGCATAAGTATGCGTATAGCAATAGCTGAGTTCTTCTCTTGCTTATTGGTTGTATCATTCTCAACTCAACTTAGTTCTTAAGGTAGACTGAAGTGATGAAATTGGGAAGACTCCAGTTTTTAGCTTCCATTGGAAAAGGTTAGCTCTCAGTTTGACTCTCCAAGATATCCGCGATTTGGAAGACTTGTCCTGATAGTGGCTGGAGACTGAAGGTGAAACGAAAATTTGTGCCCCTGCAGAAATCGAACAAGCGATTACCCAGTGTCCGGACGGGTGGTCTAGCAACTAGACTATGAGAATGAACTACTAAGTATATTTCTATTTCAGTTCAATCACCAAGGGTTTTTTCCGGTTGCTATGTGAAATTGTGACAGGTTACTGTCCACTGATCATACTCACAAGAGCTGCATAGTCAGGACTTCTCACCCCACTCGAAACCTACTTGAATTAAAGAGGGATAGGATCATATTGATTATCAATTTGACCATCTGATACTGGGTTATGACTGAAGTGAAATGAGAGCTTGGTCAGTAGTTGGATCTCACAGCCCAGTTGATAGAGCACTGTGCAGGAAACCCTGTGTTTGCCGGTTCGAACTGTGTCGTGACCCAAATCTTCATTTCACCTTCAATCATCACCCAATATCAAAAGACTAGTTGTCACTTTCGAGGGATTTTTCCTTTCAAGAAATTCCTCACCGCCAGTCTTCTGATGAATTAAAAAGTCTACTGATTCTTTCTTGTACAATGAATGACTCCTTGATTGCTGCTTAAAGGCAAACTCCTGTATTTATGTTCGAGTCAATATATACTTGCAATTCCTTCTTCTGTAGACAATCCAGCAATCACTTCAGTGTTTATAAAAAAATACTTTTTAGCATCTTTGACCTGACAGTAATCTCAAATAATGCTTCTAATGAAAAAGATCAAAAGAATATGCAGTTAGGCGTGAATGGAAAACCTTTGAAAAGTAGCTAACAAGTTCAGTTGCAGACTTGGTTCTTACAGCTTCCATGCCTTCAGTTCTTAAGAAGCTAAAGGTTGCTATAAGTTCTACTTAAATCACTAGAATTTCAGAAAGATCAAGTCATCGCTGTCATTATGTCTTAATGATCCTAGATTATTTTGTTAGTGTTCAGGAGGTAATGTCATGGTAGGACAAGACTAGTGAATAGACTTCATTAGTTCATTCTGTCTAAAAGCTACATTTAGCTAGTTTGAAGTGACTACATACATGCTTTCTTATCAACTTTCTCCGTTCTACACTGCTATAATTTAGAGTATATTCCGATTCTTAATCCTTGTACATGTTATTGTAATCTCTGAAGTGTAATTACCCCTAGTTATCGTCGTATGCTCGAGATTGATTAAATCGTTTACTGAGCAGTTCGAAACTGCTTGGTTCGGCTGGAATGTGTAAATATATAAACTACAGTCAGCAT